GGACCAGAGCTACGAGACGAGGCTACTAAATTTAAACATGTTCACATTAGAGGTGAGGAGATTAAGGGGGGATAGGATTTCCATGTACAAAATGTTTAATGGTGGTAGCAACATTAGCGATAAACTGTTTAAAATTAACTCCGTTACAAAAACTAGAGGCCATCACCTAAAATTGGTGGAAAAAAAATTCCAGCACAAGGGGCGAAGGGGGTTCTTCACAGTAAGATCAGTTAGGGTCTGGAACTCACTGCCACAGGCGGTGATTTCAGCAAATAATGTGGAATTGTTCAAGAAACTTTTGGACGATTTCTTAAGGGACCGTAATATACAGGGGTACAGGTACTCCTAGAATGAGATCCTAATAGGTTGGACTTGATGGACTAATGTCTTTATTCAACCTCAAATACTATAAGATGGAAGTGGCAGGAGACCATAAGGACTACAACTCCTCTCATCTGTATAGGAACTGTTCACACTTTTCTTGCACCTGAAGCTGCACTCCCAGGAGTTCTGCACCAATGCAGTGATTAACAATTCTGCATGCCGCTTCCATAGGTATGAATGGTATTGCACGAACACCAAACAAAAAGCATGTTACGTGTGTTTGCGCACACATTGCTATACAAATAAAGCCTTTGAACATTAAAAAAAAACTCAAACATTGAGCTTGCTGAAGCAGTGTGCATCTTAAACAACCATTGCTGCTGATCGGCACCAGAAATCAGCCACTTTACATGCACATCATAGCTCTGGACCGGCTCCCTAATAAAAACAGTGGACCATGCCTTTGTAATGTGAGCTGGCACGGCCACTTGTCACCACCAGGAGAAAATGTGACATAGTAACAACAAAGGAGCACAATTAGTTGTCGCCCTATAACAGAAGTATCTGAAGGACTTCCATTACCTTAACGTACGCCCAGCCAAAACATTATTTATTTATTTTTTAAGTTCTGGAGAGTGGGGAAGGATTAGAACCTATATTAGGTTTTAACAACTATCTGGAGCTCCCATACAATGTTCCAGGCTATCTCCTTGCTGGATTCCACTCAACTATTACAGCTGATAAACTAGTTATTACATTAGAGGCAGCAGCTGCAGTCACACGATGTCCCTGACAGAGTGCCCCTTTAAAGAGGAACTTTTATACTTCCTAGATAACTTTCTACTGTATTTGAATGAGTATACATATGTTTAGCTGTATTCTGACTAGAGCATCTAACCTTCCCCTGGATGAACAGCTTTCCATTTGCTCTAAATAAGTAACCTGAAGGCACCGAAACTCAAGCAAAACACACAGTATGCATTATATCACCCAAAGTTACTGCATGTGTTTCCAAAGGGGCTATAAATGCATATAAAAGCACGTGTGCCACTGACAGTATGAATGAGGCCCATTGCCCAGAAGTCATAACCCAGAGATACTGTATTTCTTGGGGCCTATAAAGAATCATATGTGAAAAACAGTGAGAAAAATGTCTTCATAAATGTTGTCTAGTGTTGTAAATAAACAGTGTGATCAGAGCCTGTTGGGCACCTGCACTTCCTGTCCTGGGTCACCGGGAAGCTGTACAAACAGTGCGCTTTTTAAGGGGCAACAACCGCAGACAAACAAGACACCATTTATCCAGAGCAGACAGATATTGACATTCACTAGATCAATATTTGCAGAGAACACTCGCTTTTGTGTATGTTATAGTTCAACATTTGGAATTCCTATAAACCGCAGCAAGGAAAAAACCTTAATGTTTATATTCCCACATGTGTGTGGCCAATGCTGCTGAACACATTTAAAAGGGAAATTGCTGCTTTACAAAAAAAAATAAAAAATAAAGTTAATATATATTATAATATGCCAGTAAAGCACTGCAGCCGCCATCAGTAGTTCACAGGTGCAATGCTTTGGCTCTTACAGACTTTTCCTACTACCCCACAGTTCCATTTCATTGAGAACAACAAGTCCCTCTTCTGCGGTGGCTGATGGGATCTGTGAATGGGGAAATTACAAGTCCCATCAAAGTAGATGTGAACTGATGACAAGGCTGTGTGGCCGAAGCCATGCACAGCAGCACCAAATTTAAAAAGGTAATAGAAGCCCCACCTTTCATGTTAAACCCAAACATGAGTGTAATATAAAACATGGTCAGAAAAGGTTAAAAAGGATTGTTAAAGCCCCCTAGGGGACCTAGTGCACATATAAATTGTCCCGGTTAAAATCAGTGCTGTGGTTTGTAAATTACCTTTTACTGTCAGTGCTGGCTGTAGCTCCACCCCAGGCAGAAGCCCAAATTATGGGTGAGGTACAGACAGCACTATAACCCGCTCTCCAGCTAAGCCATTTGTCTGAGAGATACAAGTGTAGTAGCTGCGGAGTGTACTGTCAGCGTGTGTTTGTGAATGACAGCTCTTCTGCCCAGCTGCTGTGATTCACACAACACAAGCCACGAGCTAATACTGTAGTCATCTCCTCAGAACTAGCTGGAGGGTGCGGGCTAAGTCTTTTAAGAGTAGCAAAGGAAGCAGAGGAGGCATGGCTGCGGGTTGGAGAGGTGGCTGAGGAAGATACTAGCTCAGTCTTGTATCTGAACAAAAAGACAAGAGGAGGCATAGGCAAGGAAGACTGCAGAGGTTCTGCCCGCAGCGTTCAGAGGCGGGGGGCTACAAGTCTGCACCACCCCCTCTCCTCTGCACGCTGTCAGAACTTGTCTCCTTGTTCCAGTGTAATCGGTGGGACAATCAAACAAAGCTGCTTAGAAACCACAGCACTGATTTTATTGGGACAAGTGCTAAGTACACAGGGTCCCTGGGGGATTTAACAAGAACTTCTGGTGAGAGTTCTTTAAGAGTAGGGCTGCAACAACTAAAATTTTGAACTGCAATCTCCATACAAACTAGTAGTCCCATCACTGGAGCCATTTTTTACATTTATTTTTATCCGATTAACCGATTAATCGAACTTAATAATCGGCTAACTAATCGATTTTAAAATTAATCGTTAGCTGCAGCCCTATTTAAGAGCATGCCACAGACACAAGATGACAGTTGTCTGCCTGGATTACCGATAAAAAAAAGAGTGAAGAGTTTGGAGAAGACAGGAGAAGTGAACAATCTAGGACAACATCGCTGAACTGGAAAGTGAGCTAAATTGGAGAATTTTACCAAATCAGCTATTTTGGCCTAGATTGTTCCCTTCTCCAAACTCTTCACCCTTTTGTGAATAACCCTGTCAAATTGGCAATACTTATTACAATCTAACCTAAAATAAAAAATCTTTTAGACCTACCAACCACTACTGAGCAAGGGACAGATTAGAAACAAACGTAGGGGATTGTTTAGAGTTAAGAAGGTTGTACAATCAGATTGTAACATGTATGGCCATGTAGCATGTACTAGCAAGCTTGCTCCTGTGACAGACTACAATATCAATACAAATTAGTAAACTAAACAAGAGATTGTAGTCCATCATGGAAGCGAGCTTGGATCGGTGGCTACTTTTCAACACACCCAGGGACCACGGGGAACAAAAGTAGCCACCCTCCAGAAGCAAGGACAGTGTCAGCACCAATTCAGAGATGATTTGAGGATCTACAGCCGAGTGATACACAAATAAGAGACATTTTTGTTATTAATTGAGGTACTTGAATGTAGTTTCAAGATTTATCTCCTGAGTTTAGTGTCACTTTAAACTTGCTTTACAACTGTGCCCTTCTCCAGTGTTGTTGGATTGATCTTAAGTCCTCAGCACTGTCTCCCTCCATCTCTGCCACCGACACTTCCAGGTTCTCGGAAGTCCTCTTCAAGCATTAGGTGGCCACGGATGATGTAACTCCTGTGTATGCACACAGGGGTTACATCCTCCCTGGCACCTGGCCCATTCATGGTATCTTAGAGATGGCACAAATTGGCAGTGTGTGTGCTCTGCATGGCGCATGCACCATACAGGGTACAAAAAAATATATTTTAAAATGCAGGGGGAGAGAGAGAAATGTCTAAAAAAAAATAAAACTAAAAATCCCTACCTCCTAGCAACTGATCATTTTTTTCACTTTACTTCCAATTTTAAAATATGTGATCGCGGATAATATGCTATACTGTACTTACCCCTTAAATCGTTTTCTGCCTGATCTAACCACTTCCTGGCTGATTTCATCCAGACTCTGAAACCAGAGCAGCTACCACATTGGAAAATGTCAGCAGGCCTTCAGATATTAATCTGAACATGTCCTTTCAGTGTGGGGCAGTAGGGAGTTGCTCTTCATAACATTCACAACATTCTCACTGCCAAGTATTGTCTGTCTCAGCAGAAAACATCTGTGTGAAGTATGCACTGGAAAACCCGGAGACATCTGTAGCCAACAATGCTTACCACTCCCAAGCTATGGATGCCAGGAAGCCGAGGTGGCTGAAGACTTGCTTCCAAAAATCTATTCCCGAGATTATGGAGCACAGGCACTTAAAGCTAAAGAAGTAACGTAAACATTAAAAAGAAGTCATATTTACTGTTACATTTGCTACAAACCTGTCAGGTGTAACTTTTATGAAGAATGCAAACCCCTTTTTAAAAGGATAAATTACATCTTTGTAGCAAGGCTGCAACCAACTAATAATATTAATCAATAATCGATTATAAGAATAGTTGTCAACTATTCTTATTCTCAATGAGTTGGTTGGATCCCCTAGCTCTCTCCTCCACGCTCTGGAAGGAGGACACAGCAAGCAGTAGGCGGGAGCAATAGCCAGCCTGCTATTGCAGTTAGAAATGGCCAATAGCAGGCTGGCTATTGTACCAGCCCACTACCTGGCAGCATTCAGCTGCCGTCTGCAGAATCTTGCCACTGGCAGCTGTCCTTCCCTGGCTGAAGCTATTCAAGTGCCATGTGCTCACAATACAATTATTAAAAAGTAGGGAGGCACCGATACTAGTATCTGTATCGTTGCCGATGCCAATTATTTGGGCGAGTACTCGTACTAGCACAAATTTTCCGATGCCTAGTCTGATACTTCTGTCCGCTTGTGACAAGAGAGCATGGAGCCGGCTTCCCGGCCAATCAGGAACCCAAGCAGCGTGTAATGACACTCTGCCTGGCTTCCTGATTGGCCAGCTTCCCGACCAATCAGGAAATCGGGCGCAGTGTAATGACGTGACACCCGGCTTTGATTGACCGGGAAGCCGGCTTCATGCTCCCTCGTCACCTCATGACGAGAGAGCATGAAGCCGGGCGCCGCGTCATTACACGATGCCCGGCTTCCCGATTGGCCAGAAAGCCGCCTCCATGCTTTCTCGTCACCTTTTTTATCGATTCATCTAAAGAAATTAAATCGGCCAACTAATTGATAATGAAAATAATCATTAGTTCCAGCGCTACTTTGTAGAGCACAACATTTTTTATTTTTTTTTTCAGTAGCAATCAAATGTTGCCAGTCCAAGTTAGAAAACAGGCAAACAGGGACAACACATACAGTTATTCTTTCATAAATGGACACATACTTTACACAGCACCCAGGACACTTACTCTTTTGCTCCAAGTCTCTTAACTCCTCCGGTGGGATCTTCAGTTTGTCTATGTGCTCTCTTAAGACACTGGCCCACTTCAATAACGACTCCATTATAGTCCAGGGCCTAGACATGTCCGCCACAAACACCACCAGCGTGTCTCGGATCGTGTCCCTCAATACAGCAAATTTTAGAAGGCCTTTGTGGTACAAGTCCCCATCCAATATCCACACATTGCAGCGGGTGTTATCTGTAGGCAGAAGCAAAGAAACAGTCATTATGGCTGCTAGCAAAAATAGGGCAGCAATAGCAGCCTCCATTATTCTCCTACAAGAGGTGGTTTACGTTAAATTATCTGCAAACCTGTAGTACAATATTACAGAACAATTCCACCTAACATCTTGATAAATATACATGAACAGTTCTAGCTGCTAAAAAAAAAAAAAAAGGAAATTCTGCTCTGTCTGTCTTGTGACTCCAGCATATTCTGAGCGGCTGGGCCAGAAAAAGCATGCAGAACTGCAGAAAGCGAACTGGTCCTCTCACTCTTATGTAGCCAAGAGAAGGTTCCCCTAATAACTCTCTTGCCCTGATAAGCCAAACTTTGTTATAGAGGCCTCACCACATTGCTGTTTCTGTACCCTGTTCATCGCAGCAAAATCAGGGTTCAACTTATCACAAATCTCCCTCCAATTGGCCATCTTCTGACGATTGTATTTATACTGGGGATGTTTACTGCTGTACAGCAGGGCACAGTCCCGCACATATCGGATACATTCCTTAGCATCCACACCTCCCATCTCTGCTATTTCTCTCCACACTACAACCAAGAAGTCCCTGGATGATGACATTCAAATCTGAGTAATTTTTTTTGTATGCGTTTTCAATGCGTTCGATTCGTTCGCACCACATTTTGGAGGACAAGCAGTACTTTTTCTGACTGCAGTTGAACTGACTGCAATGGTGTGAATTAGGCACAAGAAAGCCCATAGAAAAGCATTGTGATGTATTTTGACTGCAAAATAAACGGATTGTATCACAACTGCATATGGTGTGAACTGGCCCTTAAAGACCTACAGGTGAGCGATACACAAATAAGATCAATTTTTGTTACTAGTTAAGGTTCTTGAATACATTTTAAAAAATTAACTCCAGAGTTTAATGTCACTTTAACCTTCCTAACACTTTAAACACCCATTCTGCTGCATATCCAACTTGCCTGCTGCCGGCCTCCGGTTGGACCAGGTGGTGACCTTGTGACAAAATTATGCAGCACCAGAATCCCACATGAAACCACTTTGCATGGTGTACTTCTTGCATACAAGTCATTAACTACACACAATAGATTAAAAAATAGCAGCAGCACCGTACACACATTTAGGAAAAATAAGACTGCTACACTTTAAATCATTTTCAGGAGTAAGCCCTCTCTGCATCCTAGAAATGGCATTACATTCAGAACATCATGTATAGCTAATTTCATGTTTACACAGCATTCAACAGCCTGGCATGTGCTGGATCCTACGATAAAAGCGTTCATTGTTTTTGGACAATATCAACCGTAATTTGTCACGCAGCTGCTGCTTGGCACCGTCGGGTGCCGTAAATAGCTGGCAATTTACTGGGGAGAAGCACGGAGCCACGTGCTGCAAATAGTCTCCTTTACTAAAATAGGACCCATTGCTGTTAGATTATGCAAATGTCTGTCTACAAGCAGAGGAAAAACATTCATAGATCAAAGCCAATTGCAGCACAATAAAAGGGCTACTGAGCTTCCCTTAATTATACTGGTAACAGGCAATTTACTCTCGCTGACAGCAGGGACACCAACACGATGACCCAAGCCTTTAAATGTCACCTGTCTGCAGCTTTTCACCACTTCTGAATCTCCGAACAAAGTTCAGATGTGTAACAAAGGCCTCAGCTTACTCATGGTGTGGCTCGTAAAAGCTTTGTTTGAACTAGTCCAGCCGTTCAAGCCACACCTATGCTGACAATGTGTCATCTCAAGGGGAAGTAGGCATTCACATAAACGTACACTTGTAGTTTTTTTCATTCAATCCACAGAGACACTTAATTCCCACCATCCATACAGTTTGGTGTGAATGTCCCCTAGCGAGCTATTGCATTCTGACAGCTGCCCCCCTCAGCCCTCAGTCTGATCGGGTGTAGTCACTGTTCAGCCAACAGTTTTCAGCCCAGCTCCTTCCACATAAGTAAATAAAAAATTAGATTGTCAAACAGAGTTGCCGAGAGGGCCACACAGCCAGAATTTCAGCCTTGTAAGCAGGACCCAAAATAAGAGCAGTATATGGCCAGTTTAAAGGGAACGAGATGCACGGTTATCGTCTTTACCCTTTCACTGGGTCACAAACCAGGAACAAGCATGTCCTTACACCTTATATGCACATACTTGTTTCAGGTCAGTGACACCAAGCAGTGAAAATAGGACAATGATGACAGCCCTGCAGCATGCATATTCACAGGCAAGTTAGCAATGAAACCTCATGTTTATATTCTGACGGGCTCCTTTTAAAATGAATTACTGTTGACCGTTTCATTTTTCCATGAGAACACAAACTGGCATTAATTTAGTATAAAATTACCTCCTCACACTCCAGTGATTTCTTGACAGAAATGTCAGCTTGTGGCTTATTTGAGGTATTTGCCATTTCCCCTCTCTTGCAACATCTTATGATTGAGCAGACAAGGAGGCTGCTGATCAGGGACTGTACAACACTGTGCCAGGACACTTCCACTACCCTGGAGGGCTTGTTCACACCAGCCACAGTGCGTTCCGGCCCAATTGGTGACGGAAAACACTGGATCGCATTCTGGCTAGCTCACTTTGTTTTGGGGCGTGGCGGTGCATTGAAGTCAAAGGCACCACCTACACGCCCTCCAGTGGCAAGCTGATCGCCCGCACCTGAACGCATGGGACATTAGTACTGCGTTCCAGTCCGGTGCAGTCAGAAAAATAGTGCATGCAGCATTTTTTCTGACTGCATCAGAAGGGAATGCAGGCACTGATGGGTGCGGGCGATTGCATTGCGGTCAGAGTGCGTGGCTGCGGTGCCATTGACTTCAATACACCGCCACGCCCCCACCCGCCACACAACAAAGTGAGGCGGCCGGAATGAGATCCAGTGCATTCTGGCACCAAGCGGGTCAGAACGCACTGTGGTTGGTGTGAAAAAGCCTGGGACAGATCGGTAAACAGTGTAAAGCTGGTCATATACTGTTATATTTTCTTTGTTCAACCTGCGGGCAAAACAAAGAAAATGTAACAGAATTCTCCATCCAGACTTACGAGCACGGATGGAGGAATCCCCTGCTGCTTTGCATTGTATTCTGACAGTGGTCCCCAAACAGAGCTTGCAGCTGATTAGTTTCCCTGCCAAAGGATCTGCTATTCTGTCCAAAATGTGTCCTGAGATTTACACAGCACTGCCACACAGTTCAGCCAGCCTAGTGACTTGACTTTACTACTTTACAGTTAGGTCAATGACCCTGCCTGCAGCATGGGACTGGACAGTAAGGGCTAGTTCACACCATAACTTAATCAGAACTGCGTTCGTCTGAACAACTGCAGTGCAATGCGTTTTGCCGTGATTTGTATTTTTAGCTTAAAATAGGCTTTTTCCAGTGCGTTTTGATGTGTTTCGTTGCAGATTAGGGTGCAGGTAAAATGTAGCAAACAGAAATGTTTCTGACTGCATCGGAACTGACTGCACTGGTGTGAACAGAGCACCAGAAATCCCATTGGAAAGCATTGTGACGCGATTATTATGCAGCTGCCAAACTGCATCTGGTGTGAACTACAGCAGCCCTAAAGGAATAGGAGCAGACTGATGCCCTCATCCCTCTTCTCATCTGTCAAAATGTTCCTTTCCAGTATACTGTATATGCATGCTGCACACCTGGCTGGCACCTCGTGTATAGTGCCCCTCTCCTTTCACTGTACAAGCGACTAATGCCAAGACAGAGGAAGGTACGGTAAATAAACATTTAAAAGTTTTAAAGATACCATAACTGCATCCATTGGCGTTATTTCTATATCTGCCAGGAACTCAGCTTTCAATTAACTAAACAATTATAAATGTATCATGTGGCCACTTTGCAGATGACATCATAGTGCATGCATGAGGAAGTAGAAGCGGTGGTGCAAGAATGTGAAATAAAAGCCGTTACAGCTAATATCCACAATCCAGTGTGGCCAACTTTCTGTTCCTTAAAGCTGAATTCCAGGCAGATTAAACAACCCCCAAAATGAATGCAGCTCTGCATTCACTAATACATTATTAACTTCATTTTTTAAATGCAGCAGTTTAACTACCAAAACTTGACTTGGTATCAGTCTCTGTACAGCAGAGCTCAAATTGGAAGAGGGAGGAACCAATCCAAGGAGCCAATCAGTTCATGCACTGGCAAGGATTATGTTGATAGAAGAGAGCAAACTGAAACATAGATCAGCTTATGAGTTCATGTACTGGCAATGAGCATGCTGATAAAAAAAGAGCAAATTGACAAAGATCAGCCTATTACTTCCATCAAAGGCTAGGGGAGACAAGACCTGTAACTGCAGCAAAGAAAAATGAGATCTTGTGCCTTGTCAGACAGGACTGTGCTTTGTGACAGAGCTCAGGGCTGGGTGGAGAGAAATCTAACTCCTTTGGCAGGTAAAACAGCTCATATATATGTATTTCATCAATGCACTGACAGGTTGCCTGGAGTTCAATATTTAAGTGGACCTAAACTCAAATGTTGAAGCTCCGCCATTAGTCCACTCTAGAAGTGAAATGTTAATAATGCTTAAACTGACATTAAAGGCGCATTTTTTCCCCTCCCCCCAATGTTAGTGTAGGGACTTAAATCATGCCTCTTAATCCGATCATCTTCTTTAGTGTAGTTTTCAGATGTCCTTCCAGCGCTGGTGCGGGTCTACGATCCAGCACTGACTCATCTGTCGTCCTCTCCTGTGATGTCCCACGGGGTCTGCGCGGGTGCACGCTGCTCCATAGAATTACCTCGTGTCTCTCCTCGTCTCACAGCCGAACATCTGAACTGTGCATGTGCCTGCCCCAAGATCCTTTGTGGCCGGCCAAGAAATTTTCAGATGTTCGGATGGGAGCGCGTGGCGGAGACAAATGTAAGTATTATCAATTTAAATGTTTTTTTTTTATCGTTTTGCATATATCTACTGCTTACTAGCAGTAGATATATGCAAAAACAAATGAGGGTTTAATAACCCTTTAACCACTTGAAGGCCATAGTGTTTCACCCCCTTCCTGGCCAGGCCATTTTTCAGTATTCAGCGCTGCGGTTCTTTGACTGATGTTTATTCCGTCATGCAACGCTTTACTGAAATGATTTTCATACCATTTTTTGGGGACAGATAGAGCTTTCTTTTGGCGGCTTTTATTCACCAATGGGGTTTTTATTTTTTACTATATAACAAAAAAAGTACCCTAAATTTGGAAAAAAAACATGTTTCCCTATAAAATGTTATGAAACATTTTTTTTCACCCCAATTTTTTGGTAAAATATAAAAGTCGGGGTCACGTCGGGTAAATAGACACTAAACATGTCAACCTTTAAAATTGCGCGTGCCCGCAAAATCGCAGAAAACGACCGCAGCCAAAATTGGCCATAGGCGACGCTTTAAACGTTTTTACCGCTCATCAGTTTAGTGTCATCAGTGATTGATGGCCCTAGAATTATTGTTCTCACTGCGACGTTCGCGGCGATATGTAACATGTGCTGCATAATGGGCGCAATCGTCGGTTTCGTACATAGGCGCACCCGACGCATGTTTGCGTGTGTATCTGGGGGGCGGGGGACTTTAAAAAAATGTTTGTGTTATTTTTTTTTATTTTTTTTAGCTTCTTTATTTTTTTTAGCTTCTTTATTTTTTTTAATGCTGAAATTTTTTTTTTTTGACTTAACTTTATTGCTATAACATAGGGGACTAAGGAATCCCCTATGTAATAGCCAGTTCACCAAACAGGTCCTCTTTATGGAGACATCAGGGGTCTCAAGACCTCTGATGTCACCTAGGGACCCCCACAGAAGCTGATGAAGCACAGATCTGCTCCATCAGCTTCTCTCCGGTGTTCTGCACCGGAGAGTGACACTGAATGCAGGAAGTGATGTAATATACATCACTTCCTGCATTCGAGGACAAGAAGAGAGATCAAAGGGATGATCAAGCAATGATCATCCCTTTGATCTCCTGTTAGAGCGTCGCCGTGCCGGTCCCAGCCGCACCGGCCACATCGGAACACGGCGAAGAGACGAGCAGGAGGAGGTACAGGGGGGCGGCGCACACCCGCAGATCCTGCAAGCGATCGGGCGTCTCTAGAGACGCCTGACCGCTGGTATGTAAACAGCCATCGCTGGCTGTTTACATGCTGACGGTTTTCCCTCTCGTGTGCGGCGCTCAGCGCGGACACGAGAGGGGGGAGGGGCAGGACGTCTTAAGACGCCCTCCCGCTCTGAGCAGACGTCCATCTGGCCGTTCACAAACGGCCATGGACGTAAGGTAGTTAAGCAGTAAGAATGTCACTACTGTGTTGCTCACTGTTCTCTCACTGCAGAGGAAGCTGTACCTAAAGACTTGTAGTGCAATGATGTCCCTGATTTATTCATTCTGTGGATCTGCGATTCCTCCACCTCTCCTGCCGCTTCTTCATCATTCCCCCACCAGTCATCAGATGATCAGTTGACAGAGGAAGCAGCTCTAACATAGGGAAGCAAGGCCCTGCTCCTATACCTAGCTTGCCACCTCCACACAGAGACAGAGCAGAACAAGACATGGTAAGTCAGTAATGTAGAAACATCAGCTGCAGGGAGCCCACAAGCAATACTGGTGACCAGTCCTTTCCCCATTACTTTACGCATAGCTTCCACAGTTCAAGTCCTCTCTAAATGCACATATGAGGAGCAGGGAAGCACAGCTTCCTCTTTTATTAGAACTTCAGTGGCATATTAGGAAAGGAAGCAAAACATAAAAGACAATGCAAGCTGTGGTGCTGTTCTCGGAAACCAGAGCCAAGCTTTTATCCATTATCCTGTCAGAAATAAAAGAAGAGTTAATGCAATTGGTTTCTATAGGCAGCACGGTAACGAGGTGGTTGCTGGTGCTGCAGTCCTAGGATCAGTTCTACCTGAAAGGATTACGTTTTGTTTATTGCAACAAACTGCAAGTTCTCTTGGGGTTTGGGGATTGATGTGAATGACCCATGTACTGCATGAAGCTCTGCAGCATTTGCTGTTGCTTTATCAGAGTTTGGCCAGCAGATAATTTTTGATGACGCTCTTTGTATTTAGAGCAGTTACTCACCATCTCTGTCCTCATCATGAATGCTCAGATATAAATATTCCAGCCCTCGTCCTTTCTTGTTGTGATCAGCCCCTTGTAGTTTAGCCATAAGCGTGGTCTTTCCTGAGCCATCCTCCCCTGCACGGAGACAAAAGCGGTAAATAAATCAGAAAGTGCTCTCACCATGGAATCATCACAAGTAGACTCTTCAAGGTTCACTAGGAACAATTGTTACCAAGCCTCGAGTATAGAAGCCGGCAGGAATAAACGTTTGTCAGGAAAAATATTTAATTAATTAATTCTCCCATTTTATAGCAGAAATCTACAGAATACGGGCTTTGTGGTACCCATAGGAAGGAGATGGGGCAGCACAGTGGCATAGTGGTTAGAGCTTCTGCCTTGCAGCACTGGGGGTCCCTAGTTTGAATCACAGCCAGATCACTAACTGCAAGGAGTCTGCATGGGTTTCCTCCAGGTACTCCAGTTTCCTCCCACACTCCAAAGACCTGGGGGAAGGTTAATTAGCTATGTATGCATGTGAGATAGGGACCTTAGGATTGTAAGCTCCTTGAGGGTAGGGACTGATGTGAATGTGCAACTATGTAAAGTGCTGCGTAAATTGTCGGTGCTATATAAATACCTGTAATAAATAGACTGTCAAACAACCCCCCCACCCCACCCGATGACTCTGTTTACCTTCAGATAAAACCAGTGCTTGGGCTGATCCATATGTGTGCACAGGTGATACATGCATGTATGCAGGTTTGTAAAAGAACTATTAGAAAACACCACTGTTCCATGGTGTGAATTACAGGATGGGCTGATCACTATTACTGATCCTTGGGCAGTTAAAACTGTTAACATTTATGAACGGATTTCAAATTGGCATTTATCAATTTTGTTTTAATGTGAACCTGTGCTCTTCCCATGATGTTTCCATCAAAACAACACAGTGACATGGGGGGCAGAGAAAAGTCCTCATCTTATTGTACTATCTCACCGGAAATATTTTGGAAATGTCTTAATTATGGCTCAATGCTTAATACTCCCCACTAATAATCTTAAAACAAAAACTTCCTGTCATAAACAAACATTTCTGTGCTCCTCTCTGCTACTCACCAAAAACCAGGATGTTTTTCCCAGACGGTAATTTAGATCTTGAGCTGGTTGACACATCACTGAGGATTGAAGACCTAAGTGAACAGAAACATGTTTTAATTTCATGTAAAACACAGCTGTGCCTTGAGGATTACCAAATGGCTTTTAACACACGCAAGAGCCTGGTCGGGAATTA